CTGTTTCAGTGGATCATTTTTCCCCTTCTATTTATTGTCTTCCTTTTCTAAGTTTTATTGTAATATCGTTCTTGTGTGACCTTTATTGCTTTGTCCTTTTAAATTTTTCTTGTGATTTCAACTGTACACAGACTTGAGGAAGAACAACGTAATTTTTATATATGAATTTTTACTGCTGAATTGATTTTTACCATCGTTATCATAATAAACTCGCGTTAAAATATTTCTTATACAGCTGAGCAGTTAGTAGTAGAGCCTAGCTGAACAAACATTGATTTTGATCATTAGGTCCATAGGTTCTTTTTAACTTAATGTGTAGCTTACTCAGATTATATGCTCCTCACATCTTAAAATTAAATTATTATTGGAACAAACTGCCAATTCTGAAATATATTGTTTTCAGTTTCTTGTTGCTTTGTGAAAGTGTCACCTAACTTTTGAATTAAAGTTTTATGTTTAGCTCTCTTAGGCAAGACTTTTTTATACCTTGATTGGCAAACTTTTTTTTTTAAAAGATTGTCAGAGGAAGGCAGAAAAAAAATTTTCTTATTTAGCAAATGGTTTTGAAAAGAATTAGAAAAAAAATTTGTTGTTGAATGTAAGCAATGTATAGTAGTAAGCAGCAGGCAAAAAATTGGCCAAAAATAAAATTTTATTTTTATTCAAAATAATCATTAATGGGCGGTAGATTCGCTAAACACGGTACTTATAAAATGGGGAAAAAAAAACAAACCCCACTTTAATCCACACAACCTGACAGCTTCAAGAGAAACTACATACTAAATAGTGCAACGCAATATCCAATATAAAAAGAAGTTGAAGCAATTCAATGAACGCCTACTTGAGACAGAACAAACTAAGTAAAATCAACTATCAATATACCGTACATAAAAGTGAATGCATTTTATGTCAATGGTCTCATAACATGAAGACTGTAAAACCGCAGCTCTCTATTAATTATGGTTGCTGTGTATGCTGAAAACCTACGTTAATATCCAAAAAATATTTAAACCAGATGAAGCTAATTTCATTTGAACACGTACGATCTGTAAAACCCGACAATCACTGCGACTGTTGTCGGCCCAAGCGACTCCATGGAGAAGGCATTACCATGACATCCATGCATTCAACAGAACGTCTTTAATGACAAAAGATGATCTCTTCAGACTGTCACCGACAATCAGCAGATGGGGTTACCGGTACGCGTCGTCTAACGCTCACAGGGAGCAGAGTTTGATTCGTCGGCTGACGGTCATACGACACAGCGAGTGCGCGTTAACAAGCATCGTTTAACCAACGAGCATCAGCCGACAAGAGTAAGTGCCTGATTACTCATGCCCATAGACAGACATACATTGTGCATAAATAAAAATACATACAAGTACAGAAGTTCTATGGTTCCTACTGCTTAGAATTTGAATAGGAACCACTGCACTTTCACTCCCCATAATGACAATCCAGAGGTGACGGAACTAGGGGGTGCAGTGTTATGGAGAGTAATGTGTGACCGGAAATGGTCTGCAGTCAGTTGGTTGTTACCATGCGACAGTGATGTTGGAGTATATAGTACAGTAATATGAAACTATTAGGCCTAATGAATGAATAAAGTTCAGAGTTTGTCGGGTAGTGAAATGATTATTCCACATTTTAAGTGCTCCCTAAATTCATAAGTGTAAGCTCATTACGGTGATTAATTCAATTAGCGAAGATATGGAGACAATTATTTCGAATCCCTCTTTCCAAGACGGGATGCAAATGCTTTGTGAAAATGAGTACGCCGCGGTACTCATTTTCACAAAGAAATACACACGACTGGTTAGCTAACAATTATGTCAATGTTACATGAACACCTGGGAAGGAAGGTGCAATCACGCTGTTACCTAGCAAACGTCTGTACTGTATGGGGGAGGGGCTGCTGATGTACTGTGTAGCGGGGGACGATAAGGCATAAGACTAGGCCTAAGCCTAACTAAGACAGTGGAATTATATGTGATAGAGAGTACACTTTCGGAAGAAATAAATTAAAATAAGAAAAAAAAAATAACTAAGAATAATTCATTTGCAGAGGTACCTTGTTTAAGTATTATACAATGCTAACAATGCGGCACTTGTAGCCCTGGCTTGGGCAAGGCATCCATGTGCAAAGCAGTGGTGTTTGTTTATCCATGAAAAAAGCACGCCACCGGGAAAGTTTGCCTTACCAGGAAAAGGTGACGTATCTAGCTTATGACGTATGCATGCTAACTAATATGATTGTGACGTCACCAAAAAATGAATATTTTCTATTATAACCAAAATATTAATAACTACAAAGTTTATGGGCGTAAATTCCCTTAATACGAATGAAGGGTTGCACAATCTCCTTGCCATACAAATTACACGTTCCACTTTTGACCCTGAGTTGTGCTTTGAACTCGCCGCTGAGGGCGGCGTTCCGGGAACCCTGCGTCTAGAAACCACAAAGATAAATACAAAACAAAAGCCAGCTTATTATTAGCCCCACAGTAATGCAAACAGGTGGGTAGAAAAGAATAAGAATTTTCAGACATCATTGTCTACAACCAGGTACTCAGGTTTACCTAAGGGGACTTCTTAAAAAGTAAGATTTCATTTAGTAGGCCTACTCATTACTCTGGCCTTGTTCATTATTGGGGAGTTCATGGCAGTAATCACCTAGGTAAAAGAAAAACAACAATGGTGTACAGAAAGGTGTGTTGAAGTGGTATAAGATATCACCATGGTAGAGTTTCTGTCTGTGATGATATGCGGAGGTTCAATACTGTTCTGTAAACATCCACTTGTATAAAAAAAAAACTTTTAGTTGCCTTAGATACTGTCATGCATATATTTTATTTAATTAATTTATATTTAACAATATATAATTCTAATAACATTTGACTTTAATGTTTTATTTATTTCAGTATAACTTTACTGTTTATTTCATTAAATTTTATATTTTAACTACCTTTTCTTCAAAGCTTAGTATTATTAATGTTTTCTGTTTATATTCGCCAAATTTCTCTTTATTCTCTCTATCTTAGATTTGTATATAATTTAAAGTTTTAGTTTTATTTTTAAACTTTACCACTATGACATACACAAACTCTGTTTCGTTTTTTGTACATCTCAAATTGCATAACATCATGTCCAACAAAATATATACAGATTCTATGTCTTTTCATCAGCATTACTACAGTTAATTACTAAACTCTCATCTTCTACTACATTTATTATAAACAACCACTCTCTTTCCTCTCATACATTTATAAACACTGAACAGACCACCGTATTGGAGCCACAGATACTGATCACATTGGTTTGTACAGCAAGTAACCATCGAGGATATAGAACTTTATAAAAATTCTATATTTTTTTTTAAGGATGAATATTTTTATGTTAATTTGACAGTTCCTGTTTAATGAATATTATTAATTATACCATAATTTATTCATTCTGAATCTTCAATAGATAAAAATGTTTAAAATTACATTCTTCTAACAAATATAATCAATCATTCACACAAAATGCATACGCTGTAACAAATAATATAATTATCTTTATTATCTGTGACATAGAACATCATTCCAACCAACAGTATTATCCAAATAGGGTTTCAAGTCATTTTTGCTGGCAGCCCAAATATATGCTACTAAACAAATGCTTTTTTTCATGGTTAACAACACATGGTGCATATGAAGACAGTTTCTCTGTTATTGAACCAAAATTAATGTGGGCCAATTTAAATCAAATATTAACCAACATTACATACAGCTCTTAGTAACCCTGCAAAATATTATGAATTGACTGATACTGTTACTCCCTCTCTGTGACACAGCTTTCTTAGGCCAGACTTTTGTTTATACGTTGTTTAGCAAATACACTGCCTGCCAATGATTTTGAATAAAAATAAAATTTTATTTTTGACCCTGAAATCTCCAAAAATAAGATATGTTTCTTTTTATTTTTTATAAATTTAAACATTCACCAATAAAATTTTATTTTTCTTTTCTCCTCCATCTGGATGTGTGTGGCAAAACTCTTTGCTAAATGAAGAATTTTTTTTCCCGCTCTTCTCATATAAGTTTACGAAACAAATTATTTGCTAAATTAATTATTACTATATCAAAGATGTAATATCAGCACACTGAAACAAAGATTTATTAAAATCATCATAAAAAACAATGAAAAGAACTATAATAATATGACCACTTTAAATATTGCTGATAGTAATACCTACATCACTTTTAAAATATACCACAGAAAAATGACTTACTGGTACATATATTAATAAATACTATTTTTTTTTCATAGACGTTTTTTAAAGATAACAAATGTACATTACAAATATAAATAAAAGATATCAAAGATTTAAAGAAAAGCTTTGTATAAAAACAATATTATTTAGATATCATAAAACTGATCAGTCTGTTAATTGACCAATTTCATCATAAGATGATACAGATGATGACATACAGTATATGCTATTGCCCTAAAAATATAACATGGCAATTTCTCAACTGATCCCAAGCGACATTGAAAATACAACACTTCATAAAATAAATAAAACTTTTAATTTTTCCTGCACATAGACTACAGTTAAACGTTCACTTTGCATAATTAATGAAGAAATTTCATATCCATCAACAGGTATTAATGATGTCATCATGCCATGCATATTATTTAAGTAATTTATAAGCATGAGGAACACTCAACGCATCAACACCGATAACACTGCACGCTAAAAATAGCAATTAGCTCGCGCTTACATGCAATTAGCACTTACAGTAATGTATGTTCACTAAATACATCCCTGGAACACTAGTGCATCGCCAGTTTCCATAGTTCTAGGTTAATCTGGTAGGATCAATTATTTTCACAAACTTAGGGAGTGTCTTTCTTTTTAATTCTAGTTTAAACCTCTCTAGGAAAGATAATGGTCTGTTAATATGTTCCTGGAATGTAATGGCCTCGTTAAATCTAAGAATTAATATTTAACTTACCTTTCTTAAGTTCTGATTGACCCATTTGGTGAATGTTTTCTTCTGAACTTCATCCCGTTCATCTGAAATTCATGAGATTGAATAAATATATTTATGCCAAAATATATTATGGTTAGTGCATATTTTAACAATTATTACCACATTAGGTGTAATAACAGCACATTGAAACGAAGGTTTACTAAAATCATCATAAATATGAAAAGAATTATAATATTATGACCACTTTAAATATTGCTAATTGTAATACCTAAATCACTTTTTAAATTTACCACAGAAAAATGACTTACTGGTGAATTTATTAATAAATACTTCTTTTTTTTCATAAAGGCATTTTTTATAGATAACAAAGGTACATTACAAATATAAATAAAAGATATCAAAGATTTTAAGAAATGCTTTGTATAAACAATTATTATCTGGATTATAGATTAATTAGAGGAATTGATCGTTCTGATAATTGATCGATTTCATAATTTTAAAAAAAAGGATGTTTACATTTTAAAGATGATACAGATGATGACATATGCTATTGCCCTAAAAAATTAAAGGCATTATTCTTTGGAGCTTTCATTCCTCTCTTTACAATGTAATCCTGCCATCCTATTTTTAAAACATCCAATGTATTTAACTCACTTAAAAGGACATAAAACAACTACCGTTATTCATATTTTGGGAAAATGAATGGGAGTAGATGTTATAAAGTGAGGTAGTAAGTAACTACCATACCTACACAAGATTAGGAAGCATAAAACATACAAGGATACAAGCAGACTGTATTCATGATTCACCCACTACAGGGGAAATGCCATGGCAGAATACAACATGAAACATGACCTGCCTCAAACAGCCTCAGGCAGAGTATTGTTGATGATAAATGATTGATTGTATTTATTAGAGCTTATTGTTGATGCTAATTTTCAATTTACAAGTCCCTCGTTTTACCTTACTTAAATTATAGTATCACTGTGTGGGGCTATACTGCAAAACAAAATCTAAATTGTATATTTGTTCTACAAAAGAAGGCACTTAGGTCTATTTACAATGTCAATTACCTTCATCATTCTGCTCTATTTGTTTTTTCAAACTCGCTCAATATTTTTGATTTACTTACAAAAAATATTGCTGTCTTTATTTTTCAATTTAAGTCTAATCAATTGCCTCCAAACTTTAGTTCATACTTTCAGAATTTTAGTTCAATCCACAACTACAATACTAGAAATAGGAGTAACTATGTTTATGAGCGTTTAAAATTGTAAATGGCCAAAGTGATCTCATTTCAAGGTGCTAAAGTTTGGAATGAATTACCAGATCATTTAAAAACAATTAATATTAATGCTTTTAAATACAAATTATATTCATATCTAGTTTCTTCCACCACGTGAATTCCAGGTTCTTAGTTGCTTTTTACATTAATGTAGGCCTATATTATATTTTATTATACTATATATTTTGATTTGTCATTTTTTTTAATCAAGATTTATTTATTGGACACACTCTTATGTTCAGGACCCCACAATTAAAGCTTGCTTACAGTGGGGTACTTTTTTCACAATAATCTTGATTTCCTCAACTTACAAGAATGAATGTTATTGTTGTATAACATGACCTCTGTCCAACTAAACATCAATTGTCTATGATTGATTGATTGATTGATTGATTGACTGATGGATTAATCTAATTTAGTTGTAGCTAAGTTATATAAGTTATGGTTTTGCATGGTTCTCATTACATCTTCCTAAAAATGTAGAACTTACCTGATTTGGCGTGGTAGATTGTGCGTTTCAAACTACTAAGTGCATCCTCTATTTTAAAAAATCCTTTTTCTTTATTTTTTTTAAGGCTCAATAGCAAACTTAATTACTTTATTAAGTGGCAATCCTTCACAAGACGAACACGGAAACAAGGTGCTTTACATTACAAAGTGTCAATTCGACTCTTAGGGAGTGGAATTGTTTTGGTCATGAGAAAAATCCTGATACTCTGACTGGAAATGGCCTGGGACCTTGCAAATTAGAAGGCAAGCAAGTTATAGCTACACTGGAAGAATTGGGAGAGTTAAGTTGTTAAAGTAACATAAATTAATCAATTTAAGCTAAGTAGAAATTGAGAACACTGCAATAATTAATCTCTATCTAATGTTTACTGAATGACAATTTACAAAGTACTTAAAAGCAAAAACAATGCACAAACAAAAATGAATAGATACAATTAGAATAATACATACAATTATCCCGGGATTTAAGTTTCAGCATGTTTTTGACAGACCTCTACTCTCTCAAAGAGAGCTAGGAGTTTCAAATAAACAACAGTATTGGACGTTTACCATCCGACTTGAAGATACAAACCCGAATCCGGTAAAGAAACTTGAATACAATCTTCAACTTTTATAAAGAGAACCTAGAAAGGTGTGGTTATCCATGCATAGCTAATAATCTGCTTCGTTTGGCAGTGGTAGTGGTAGTGGTTATGTCAACCAAGGAGTCAACCAATCAAATCCCTAACTGTACCATGTTTCTTATAATAAAGTAAACAAATAATGTTTGACGAATCTATTGTTCACCCTTGACATAAATCAGTGTTGTGTTAACACATGTGATCACAACTCTGCTCAATTACAGTATGATATTTTACAAATAAAACATCCTGCCTAATTTGAAAATTGATAATTTTAAAAATAGCAGAAAAGTAAGCTAATGCAAAGTTAATGTGCACTTAAGGAAGAGTCACCAGAAAATGGCAAACAGTGGCGTATCTAAAAAGCTCTGCGCACCCCACCCCCAAGTTCCCCACCCCCAATTGAAAATGTTTGAAGCAAAAAAAAATCATGCTCCAGTAGATAAATATAACCTAATATCATGGCTCAAAATTGTGCTTTTAGACCACAATATTTGAGTTTGGAAATCAAAATAACATATTGGATAGGCAAATTAATATTTCAGGCCCGTCCAATTTGTCAATGCCCCCCTGGTGCCACCACTGAAATTGGCTCATGATAGCTTAGTATTTTTAAGAGGTATGTAGTTGAATAGCTTGGCAGTTAAGATGCTTGCCTTTTAATCCCAGTGGCATGTTTTGGAAACCTGGAATGGGTTTTTTTCTCACAATGATTATCAACTTCACTACTTAAGTTTAATATAAAGCATCATTGTTTGTACAGAAATATCTATTTTGCTGAGTTTGTCAACGACCACCTACTGTCGATAGGATAGCCTACTGCAGTCGCGGCTACAATCTCAAATTTTGGGAGAAAAAATCTGATTGACAACTTGTCAATCCGATTTTTTTTATACAAGGCCAATATAAGTTTTAAAAAAGTCATTTTTTTAAAGCTGAGCAGCTCCACAATGTTTTTGCCAGGTGGAAAATGATTCGAGTAGGCCTCCTATGTTCCAAAGAGAATGTAGACGTAGAAGTTTGGGAGGGCCTGTTTCTCTGACGGCCACTCTTGACACTACCTGGATCTGACACTTGATAGACCTTCTTAATGTACTGTAATATATAAATAGTTATCCTAATTTTGATGGTTACATAAATTGAACCAAGGATGCTGGTATATATGAAGCCAAGAACCTTAGTTACACACAATCTGCTGCACTACAATTCTTTCATATAATCTATCACCCTTGATCTCAGACTGATATATTTTACAATGTAAACACTGATTGACTTTTGAGTTCAACATAGAGTAAAACTCAATTACGTTATTAAGTAAAAACAATTTTATCAGTTCAGTAGAAAACACTAGCAAACAAATTAATCATCATTTATCCATAAACTAATAGTGGAAAAAAAAAAAACTTTAGCCAGTGTTTACTTAAGACATAGTATACAAAAAAAAAATAAAATGAAAAAAATACATACAAAAATCCCGGGTTCTAAGTCTCTCCATTTTGGCAACTTCTACACTCTCTGAGAGAGCTATGAGTTTCCAGAAAGCCACAGGGTACAGCAACTCTGTGGTAAGACTTTCCCTCCAACTTGAGAAGTCGGATTAAGGTAAAGAAAGTTGAATACAGTCGTTGACTTTAATAATAAGCCTGTACAAAGGTGTGGTCAACCAAGCATAGCTAATGTGTCTGATTCTCTTTAGCAGTGGTGGTAATTTAAGTCAACCAATCAGGTTCCTACTACACTGTATAATATGGTTCTTTTATAATAAAGTAAACAGAAATGTTTGTTATGTTCTTCTGTTAACCTTGATATCAATCAGTGGGTGTAGATAACTATTCTCACCTATGCTCACGTACAGTATGTTGACCTGACTTCTCAATGAACCAATATACGCACACACTATGGTCTAATTTGTTTTCCCATGTTTTATATTAGAAGAAATTACTAAAAATACAGAAGGAAATAAAGTACATAAATATTTATAGTAGAAGTAATTGAAAACATGCTGCAAAAATCCTTAATGATTTTTTTAGGGTTTGCATGGCGAAGTAACTTGATAAATGCTTGCGGTAAACCATATAGTGGTGTACTGCAAGCACTTATCAAAAGTTATTTGATCACTCATTAACAAGCATCAAATAAGTTAACACAATCCAGTGAGAAACAGTTTGAATCAATTGAGTTTTTGTTGTAGCAGTGGTGTTGTTTCCCCGACTGGTGAGCCATAATTCCCCTACTATACCACCCATCGTATAAATCCCCCTCCCCCAAAGCAGCCTAAATTGGTGTTCAAAGAGGGTTGAATTTATACCAGTAAACTATGTACAAATACCTGAAAATGTTAGACTAATGGTATTTGAAGTGTCTGAATTATATGCTTTGTCAAAAAAAAATTTTCAAAGTTAAATCTTTAATTGATAACTAATAACTTTAAAAGTGCAATTTAAATATTGACTTAATTTTTTTTTTTTTTTTTACCTACACACAGACAGTATATATTCAAATAAAATCCTCCTGTTTGTCTGTATTTAATACCCTACCATAACAATTTATTGATCTGGAATGAGTCAACAACAGGGGTTCGTCACCACAATATAATTAGAGACCATCTACACAAACTCCATCAATGCCTATTGTAATTGATTAGGACATTAAACAAAGGTTCATCAATAAAGAAACCGTTAAATCTTGGTTTAAGCAGGTTTATGGTAATGTCTACTTGTATTGGAAGTAATGTAAATAGAATTCCATACAGTAACTATAAAGTGCAAACAAGTACTGTGTGCACAAGCTTTATTAAGTTTATGCTCCACAAGATCGAAAACACAGTGTTGAGAGAGTAAAGTATCTATTAGGCTTCATCCATAGCCTATCATCATCTGTAGCTAATTCACATTTGGTTGGCTCCAGTGGCATAACTAAAGGTCTTGAAATGAGGGAACTGATAGGGGGAGGGGCGCGAAGGTGAAGGGGGGGGGGTTCGATGATCAGTTGAAGGGCGCTAATTCGTAAAATATGGTGATTTTTAACTACTTGACCGTGATTTTTTTTGGTGGGGGGGGGGGCGACTAGAGGGGCACAAGTCATTTTTTAGGTGGGCATGCGTACCCCACGCCCTCCCCCAGTTAACTATCAAAAGGCAAGTCATTGAAATGCTATATAATTGTTTAATCCTGCTATTCCACTTTGTGTCTTTACAGCAATGGTGAATCTCTCTTAATATTTAGTGTGCCATGAACTTTTCCCAAAGTCTGCATGATGTGACATCTCACTCAGACACTTTTTCGTTGAATATTAATAATAATTCTAGAGAATAAAACATATCCTCCGCATATGTAAGCACCCATTCTGCCTGACATTTGAAATAGGTTCTTATAAATATAAAGCTAGGAAGAAATTCTTACTTATATTACACAAAAAAAAAAAACAATGTGATTTGCTCACTCTCCAAGCATGATTGCTAATTTAGTGCAGTAAACTGAGAGTATTGTATTACAATTTCAATTTCAGGTCCTGTTTTTTTCTAAATTTACTTCAAAGATCTTATAATAACAAGATAGAACATTCTCCGCAGTTTACGTGTAACAAATAGAAGTGTCCAATTTACGCAGATAACAATAGAAAGTAATTCTAATTGAGAGAGGGCATCCTAGTTTTACTATGGTGGTTGTTCCAGAATTTGCACGGATACCATAGATGTCTAAGTTCAAAAGTAATTGCAATTGCAAGAGGGCATCCTACACTGCATTATTATAGAATTTGCACACAGAGAACGCTATCTTTGATTTAAGATAGAAATGAAGGATAAATACAGGCAGACCAACCTTATTACATAGAGACCACATTAAAGCCCAATACATGAATAGTTAATTAAGACTTAAACCAGATGGAAAGCAAGTTGAATGTCTGTTTACCTTTCATTAAAATGCATAACTTACTTTTGTTAACCTGAGACAAAGAATACACATGGACAGTGTTGACTTTTCTCTAAAAAATAGGAGAATAAAATGCAGACCCTTAAATAATCACAAAAATGTGGAATTGCTATCTTAAAGCCTGACCAATTATATTTACATCTTTGAATAGAAAACTTGTTTCATAGGTTTTGATAACTTAAATTGTAAAATTATGATCTCTTAAATCAACCATTAGACCCAACACTACCAATCAGCAAAGGTAATAAAAATACTAAATGCTAAGAATTATTATAGGACCCAACTCAAGTATGCAAAAAATGCTGCAAAATGGATAACTAAATTTATTTATTAGGTTGTCCTCATCAATCATATTTCTCAAGACAATTTATAACCCACACTAACCCCTGTACAGGGTAATGCAGGGTAATGTATTAAAGAATGACTATTGTATTAGAAGGTGACAATCACTTTGACATGTTTAATTGAAAGTCAACAGACTGTATATCACTACAAATTTACTTCCAGTACTCTGTCGACTAAAATTAATTTTTAAAAAGAGGGAAGACAATGCTCTTCTAAATTGAATGTGTTTAGGCTTCCAACCGAATGATAGCCTTTCAAATCGCAAAATTGTTTCCCCGAGTTCTCTTCTGGAATCATTGGTCTTGAGTTTGAGACCAATGCTGTCGTTGTCTATTTGGATAAAGCCAGGCACTCACTACATTGTACGACGGTCATACGACGGTCTTACGACCAATCCAATTCCACTCCATGTGAGCACAGGTCATGTGAGCACAGGTCATGTGAGCACAGGTCATGCAACGCCGTCTGCTGATGGTCGGTGGCAGTCTGAATGGATTGTCATTAAAAACCATCCGTTGCACGCGCGTCGTCAATGAGTGCCCAGCTTAAGACACATTATCTCATTTGCCTAGTTTCTCCACCACAGCATGGAATTAAAAATGGGTACCTGATAAAGATAAATGATTTGGAACAAAGCTGGGGGCCGGGACTACAATTGACAAGTGCATTAACGTTATTATTGCTGTAAACATAGGTTCTTATCACTTGAAAATCTAGGCCAACTATCAGGGACTTTGGATTATGGATCAATGCTCTTAAATATGCATTATACAGTATGAAAATACTGTGGGAGTATATGGGTTAATTTCTTCCGCTCAGTTGTGATAACAGATACCAAATTAAGATCAGTCAATCAATCAACCATTCAATTGACATTTTAGAAACTTAATGTAAAGTGGCACTAATGATACAACTATTATTGGCTTTGCGGTAGTAAAGTAAGGGTCAGAGAAAGGCCATAAAGGCACCTATGAATATTTTTTCCGTTAAAAGGGACATAGAAAAATATTTTTTTCTACAGGGCATTTTTGATACATCATTAGTAATGAAATCCACTTTAAAATTGTAGTGTAAGCTACTTTAACCAAAAATCGTACAATCTTAGATTACAGTAGCTTATTCTGACGTCATTTTGCTAAAGGGGCAAAATCGCAATGGCCTATAACTTGCCAAGAAACGATTTTAAAGTTGATTTTGTTACTACTGACATATCAAATATCCCCTCTAGAAAAAAAAATCATCTTTCTAGGTCACTTTTAATAGATATACTGTCATACGTTACATCTCACAATGTTCCTAGTCATATTGAACTACAGTATCAAGCAATCAAGAAAGCTGATAGTATTAGATGCTGGATAAACATACCACTTTTAGTCCAACTCTCAACTAGATAGAGGAGTAGGTTGTTGAAATCATAGTACAAGAGGAATTTCTGAGATGTATTTTTGTGTGGAAATTGGTAATATTCTGACAGTCCAAACTGGAAAAAAAAGATTTACTTGGAATCACCACTGTACATTTTAGGGGAAGTAAAGAAGTCATGACATTATTTTTACCACAATGTGATGAGAAAAATATCGATGAGCAAAATCTCGAAAAAATCAAGCCTCTGGGCCATCGATTTGTCTTTAAACTTAATTAATTAGTAAATAATAATTAATTATAAGATTGTACTATTATATGTACTATTTATTGAAAGTTATGTGTCTTTATTTAGCTTGTCAACAAAATGATTTTCCTTTTTTGGACAAATAAAATTTGTGTATTCTGTATGTAACAGTAGCTCAAACACATAAAACCTGAATTACATCAATTCCAAAAATTTTAAGCCATGTTTTTATTTTACAGTTTAATAAAATGTAATTTTGTCAGTTGATGTGGAATGATGCTAACGTGACAATGGATGTCAAACAAATTTTGTTTTAGAATGTGGTTTATGGTCATTATGATTTTTGATAGACAAAATCTTGAGACGTTGATAGCTTGCGCCCATCCTGTCAGTAGCTTTCTGTTATTTTGGTGCCTTGTTTATTAGACTATCTATTGTAATGTGACCTTTTGTAAATAAATAAAATGAAAATGTGTTTGCATTATCACAACAAACCTTTGCTCAATTATCTGAGAGCATTAGGTGTTCTTGACATGAATAAACACAAGTTTATGTGAAGTAGTATAAAACTTTGGGCGTGCACATTATTGTCTAAACAATTTGAGATTCAACACAGAGAAGTGTATAGGCTTATAGAATATTTTACCTGAATAACCTAATAACCTACTTAATAATGCTCATGATCATTTTGAGGCCCA